TTCTCTGGTGTGATCACTCTCACCCAAGTCATGTCCCTTTCCTTAAAGTTGAGGATGGATGTTAAAAGGTTCAACAAAGTGGAGCTGTACTCTCCTTTGGAGGTGAAGGTAAACTCCATGGTTAGATGAGTAGTTTTACCACATATCATCAGTTGATGTAGAGTCCTATAAGGGAACAAACAAAACCAGGAACTAAACTGAAGCTTAAAGATGATGAAATACGCTGCTTTTTGGATAATGCAAAGAAAGACGAAGTTTGTGTGTATGAAGTATCAGTATTTAATCTGTTAAAAAAATTACTAACCTTTGTTCCTGAAAATTATTTGGAACGATTTTACTGTGTGGTTGACTAAATGTAAATGTATAACTAAATTCACAAAGTTACTAAAAGCTGTTTCCTTTAATAAAATTCAACCTGTTTTTAGAACACTTTCTATAAAATTATTGCATAAGAAATTAAAACCTTAAATGAGATTTTAGCAAGCTTCATAATGCAATAAACTATTTCAGAGATGTGCCCAAATGATTTTAAGTTATCTTTCTATAAACATCACACTATAACAAAATTACAAGAGGAATTAATTGAATATGGGATTCTAATGTTTAATTATAGAAACAGAATTCTCTAATATTTAAATGAAGTATATTCCTGACAAGGATATTTCCAGCTATAAAAACTTATTAGTGAAGATGAACATTCTGTTTGAGTTCTGTTGTAGCTCCTTAAAAAACAGAATAATCCAAGATTTTGAGTTCAAGTATCATTCCCAACTATAAAAAATTCTGGTGGAGGCAAACCTTCTGAAGCTGACTGTAGAGGCTTAAACATTCCAGAATAGTTCAAAGGAACCTTCTTTTTTGAGAGGTGGCCACTCACCATGATTATATCCTCAAATCACTAGAACTGTGGTGCAGGGAGAAATCAGAGCAAGCAAAGTTTCAGAACAATCAAGCAGGGTTGTGTGTAAGAGAATGGGTACAGTGAACAGCTCTGCAAAAACAGGTAGGAAGGGTATGTATTTAGGGCGGAGGGGAAGGGGAAGCAGAAGGACATAAAATGCTACTTACAGTGTCATCATTTTTGTAAGGATTCAGTCTATTGTAAACGGCTTCAATTACATTCCGCCTAAATTTTTAAAAAATACAGAAAATTAATTCTTCAGAAAGTACAACATTACTTAATAACTCACAGCCTGGTGTTCATTAAAGTTTCAGTGATAATCTTACATTCAGAATCATTAGAATATTTCTTGCTATCAACAATCGAGCCCCGCTTTAAGATGTTTGTGCCCCAATGTTACAGTAGAAGTGAATTTATATATATTCCACTAATGTAGTTAATTGAAGACTAAAAGCTATAAGTTAAATCACAACAAAATCACAAGTCTATATGGTCTACTTGAACGAGTGTAAGCGGTTAAGAATCACCAATGGCAAGGCCAATTCTAACACATAATACTAATTATGAAGAAGCAACTTCAACATCTGTGGTAGTAAAATAATTCATATGTACTTTATACAAAGTATAAAGCTTTAAGGTCCCTTTGAAAAAACTATATTAAAAACTGAAACATTAAAATGAATCCCCATGGGAAGTCTAGGAATCAGCTTTTAATAAAATTTTATTTAAAAATCTCTAGTGGTCTTTCTAAGTATAGCCTCCTGACTTCCAAAATTAATCTGAAGGGATTTTTTTGACAGTTATCATATAGCATGTGGAAGAAGTTTCCAAAAAATAAAAGCTTCAAACAGGAATTTCTACAACTACTACTCAGTGAAAGGATTACAATGAATGACTATATTTGCAAAAGAGACGGTGGCTACAGTGGAGAATCAAGAAAATAAATCAGAAATATATCTGTAGCCAGGAGTGGTAGCACATGCCTGTGATCCCAGCACTATAGGAGGCTGAGGCAGGAGGATCACAAACAAGTTCAAGGCCAGCCCGACCAACTTAGTAAGAACCTTTATCAAAACAAAAAATAAGGGCTGGGTTGTTACCTGGTGCAAAGGCCTGGGTTCAATCCTTTACATTGTGTGTACACACATGCACACACATATGTACTGTGTGTATATATATATATATATATATATTTTTTTTTTTTTTATGATTTGTGCAGGTTAATTCCTTGTACAGTTGAGGTAAAAATGTTTAGAGCACTGAACTGTAAAACTGCTTGAATTCTCCAATTTATACTATTAAGTACAGATGTATGCTTAATATTTACCACAAATTAACCCACTCTATCAACTAAGGTGGAAAGGGGAAAAGACCAAGAAACTCATCCTCCTACATTCCCTGACACCAAAAACAAATCTAACCAGCAATCAAGAACCAGAAGGCTGGGAAAATCAAAGATGGAGAAAGAGCCCAGATGCAGCAAGATAATCTCTCGCTGTTAAATTACCCACGGACTGACAAAATCAAATTAGAATCCTACTACTAATAGACAGAACCAAATTGGACTATGACTACTAATAGTAACTTTTGTAGTGTGACGTAATTTAGTTTAAAAATTCTTTAACTGTTTCATCTCATTTATTCTCTGAGGAAATCAACTTTACCTCAAGCTTCTACTAGAGACAATCCTCAGTTAATGGTATTCTGGTATCTAAACAAGAACCATATATCCCAATACTAAAACAAAACAAAACAAAACAAAAACAAAAACCAGTGACACTGCAGGTTAAATATTTTGAAAGCAGATAACTGTATCACCTTAGATATTAGGTAAATACATTTGGTCAATGGACACCTAACATTCCATACACTGACAGAGAGCCTTAATGTGCAGAATGTAACTTACTTGCTTGCCAATTCACCCCCTGGTGGGAGGCTGGGGATGTTCTCACTTGCTAATGTGCGCATCACATGGACTAAGTCTGGGACGCCTTCCCCCTGCTTCTTTATGATTTCTGGGAATCAGAAGTACTTTTTTTGTAAGTGTTATCCATATTTAATTAAAAAAAAAACTGAAACAAAGATAACTTAGGTTTTCAAAATGGCATTTACATCTGAGATTTCATTATTTTTAAAAAATCTGACTGACCTTTGAAAATTTACAAAGGGATGCACAAAAAGACACAGAAGACTACAAAGAATGACAACAATCAAGGTAAAAATGTGAAAAGAAAAAATAGCTCATGTTAAATTGACATGTTACATAATCAGGGACATGTGCACACAAATGAAGATATCCTTAAGACGCCAACTAGTTACTTCTGAGGAGACGAACTCCTTCTTAGACTGGATACATGTTTCCTGAACATTGTCCTATAAAATACATTGCACAGATTTAAAAAATAATTTTTTAACATTCAGAATTTGAAAAAAATAAAACCTTTAAGTACATGAGAATTTATTGATTATACACTAACCCAAATCAGTTTACATATATATTTATAGTTGAAAAATGATATATAAATAGCATGCACAGATTAGATTATGTACTTGGATATTACTCTCAGCTCAGTTTTTCTCTAAAATATCTTTAAACAATATATAGATACATAATACCATTTCCTTCATTATAAGCAAAGCCTTAAATTTCATGATAAAAATTTAAAAAGCAGATTTAATAGTCCTACAATATATCCAGTTATGAAATGGGTATAGTGATATGACCTGCAGTGTTATCATGCAGATACACTGTTATTTACGTTACAGAATAGCAAACATTGCAAATAATGAACCTTACAAAGAACTCAAGAACTAGCAGAAATCTTTGCTTGAAGTTATATCACACTTACTCTACATGCAAATTGAAGCCAAGGACATTCTAAGTTATTTGTTCTGTTTAGTTTTTGTTTTTTACTGTTTATAGTAAGAAATGTTATTTTCTTTGTCATCACTGAGGCAAGGAATTATTACTCTAGTTCTCAATTTGCAAATACCTTTGAAAATGTCAGTGCTTATAAAGATCCTTCATCTTTTGATCAAGCCTTAAGATATGAATTTATTATTAGAGGTACATATAAAAAGACAGACATTGCTATACATGAAATTTATCTTTTCCTTTGTCCCTTTTTTTTTTCTTTTTGTGGTACTGGGGCTTGAACCCAGGTCCTCGCTCATGAGGCAAATGCTCTACCATTGGGCTACATCCCCAACCCTTTTTAAAATTTTAATTTGAGCCAGGGTCTTGCTATGTTGCCAGGCTGGCCTCAAACTTGCAATCCTCCTGCCTTAACCTTCCAAGTACCTGGGATTGCAAGCGTGTGCCACCATGTTGGGCCTCATAAAATTTCTTAAAATGGCTCAAACTGTCCTTTTAGAATAAAAGCCAAATTTTGTCACTGATTATGTTTTCCTTTATTTTTTTCTTTTTGAAAACCAGTCTTAAATCTGAACAAAAAGCAAGGATCTCAGATTTGGTTTGCCAAGTTCCTTTATTGTATAATCTTTCAACATCTAGTATATTTATTCTACATGGTTCTAATGCTGAAAATCTGCTATACAAAAATAAAGGGATTTGGTATTTATCTAAACTACACAATTTCACAATCTAAAACTGTAATACACTTAACATACAGTCTCTACTAAGCCAATACAATTATTTGGATAGGTAACTAGATACAACAGAAATGAACACTGATGATGAATTCAACCAATATGGTTTCAGGTCTAAAAAAACATTACCTTGAATCATCTATATTTGATGTGTTAAAATTTAAATTATGTTGTATTATTTGTGAAGAAAATTATAAGAAACCAAACTCTTTAAAAAAATGAGGAAAGGTTTAAAAACAGTTATCTCCTATTCCATATCAGAAAATCCAATCCAATACTACCTGAACATTAATACTACGCTAGCCTTCATTCTTTCCTTGAAAAGAGAAAAATAAAATTTAAGAAATACTTAGTTGCATTTGGAATATACATTTTAATTAGAATTATAAAGACTGCTTTTATGTAGAATATATAGGTATAGAATTCTCAATATTTCAAAAACATATATATAAACACATTCTACTTCTTTCCTTTCCCCATCAACTTTTGAGGAATTCTATCAGTTGTCTTCAAATTATTGACTTTATAGCTCAGGAAGCCCACAGCAAGTATTTTAAAAATATATACACAGGAGTATAATCTTAAATTGGCTTCAAAGAACTACTAATTTAATGATAGTTTGGTTAAACAACAAGCAGAACTTCTTCACACCTCCAGTCAAGGACTTAGAAGGGCACAGACGACGGGAGAGAGGCAAGTGTGGAAAGCTTTGTCTTTTTGAACATTTTGGACAGAAAAACCCAAAATGTTGGAAGCAGATAAAATAAAGTTTAGTAGGTCACAGCTATTTAGTCAAGGCAAGTCCTTAAAAGAAAGAAAAAGAGACTCGGTCCCTGTTTTGGAAATGAATGCATTTTTTTTTTTCTCTTAAAACATACAGTATCTTTTACAATGCAGTTACATTCTATGTCTTTAAATAGCAGCAGTTTTAATCAATGTAATATGTACTCTCTACCTGCAGCTTCACCACATCTACATAAAGAATACCATATTTATGACACACAATCTCCAACTGAATGGTACAAGTGTAACAGGTCAACATATCAAAAATATTGACTATGAATGTAAATTCTATCCAGGTGGCAACTACTTGCTTGAGAATTAATATAAAAATATTGTAACAAAATTATGTAAAATGAGTATTTCATAATTCCATCAAAAACTTAGAATGCACACTTAAAAGTAGCCATACATTTCTAAAATCTGATTCCATTTCGTAGTAAAAGCACTAATAATTATTTCTTTAAGCCAGTAAGAAAACATGTATGCCCAAGTTACTTTAAAGTGCCAAAACGTTAAATACCAACTTATCTCATACATATTATTCTTATGGCTTCATGTTTTCCTTCTAATTAGTGGTTTAAACCAATGACTTTGTAGCATTCGAACTTTTAAACTACATTATCTATAATTAACTTATACTGAAATGATTAAAAATAAAAATTCAAGGCCTTTTAAGTAGTGAAAAAATACACTGCTTAGTACAGCCAATGAATGACAATACTTAGTGATATGTCTAGTATATGTTTGTACTACTATCAGGTGGTAGAGGGCAATAAAAACAAAGTAGTTCTAGATAATGCTAAAAATCAAAACCAGTCATGATTCTAATATCCTACTGATCATGACGGATATCCAACAGTAAAAAGGGAGAGAACAAAGTTAAGGTGCATACTCATTTTAATAATGCAGACACAGTGGGAAGTAACAGTGCTGTATCTTTAATGTGCACATTAATGACATTGCCATCCCAGAGCACATTTTTTACACTTTCACGGCAAGTTTTCTACTTAAAGAAACAGTGTAATCTATGAGCTTATTGTACACATGCAGCAAACTGACATTCTCTGGGGAGGCAATGTTTGTACCAAGAAGTAGCTGCATCAAAGATCAAATTTTTTGAAATACTTAAAGGAAGTACAAGCACTTTTCTATTTGTTTCAGAGTACTTTGTAGAAGTATGAGAAATATACTCCTGGAATCCCTAATTCACTTCTTGATCTTTATTCAGTAGTTCATTTTTGCTAGTACAGAACTATAGTATTTTGTCTTGTTTAGGTGAGACATTTTATGGCTTAGCCAAAAAGCTGTAAAACAGTTTAAAACAAAATTTTAAAATCTGTGGCATATGAAAATTGTTAACCAGGTTGTAACCTCCAAATTATCGAGGAAAAAAAACCCCTCTAGATATTAAATATACATGGTTTTCACAGAAAGATGGTATAATTAAACCACAAATTAGTTTTTCACTGGCATAAAATTACTCATGCCAGTGAATTCATCAAGAATTTTTGAGCCTACAAGACTTTAGCTTTTTAGAACAACCTGATTTACCCTGATTTAACAGGCTGCAGTAGCTGTTATTTTTTATATAGTGTGGTAGGACAGCTGCATGCACACATCTAAACGGCTGCTACAGAGTGCCCTTTTCCACTTTTGTACACTAAACACTAGATGTAAAAGTCACATAAAGAACTAAAAGCCAAAACATTTAAGTGTGATTCTGTTGAAGGTTTTTCTTTAATAAAGCTACTTATTTTTTGTTAAATGATCCACCTTCTACTCTGCATTCCAGGTACTTGTCCAACTCTGCCTCCTTCTTCACTGCTTCTGGAGATACTTTGGGTGCATTAGGAAAACAGATCAAAATCACACTCATGTTGTCTCGACTTCCCTGGGAAGAAAAAAGTTTGAGAAAATATTTTGGTTTCCTTTGTGCTTTTCAAAACTTTGAGAACATTTATAACTATGCCAATTGCAGTTACACTTGTTCTAATAAAGATGTTAATTATGAGAAATATATGCGTACGGGGGTCAGTTGGCCTCAAACAGCATATTGAATATATACTATAATCAACAGTTCAGAAGATAGGAGAGAACATTACTGGTTAAATCCTACAGTTATAATCACTTCTAAAATTTTTACAAAACAAAATGATTTCTAAATATTTGCTGGTGGTGGTGGCCTACTTAATTTGAAGTGAAACCTAATACAAATATACACATTCATACTCAATTCGCTCCATGTAACATGGTAGAAAAACACTAGCGTTATTCTTTACAATTAGGGTTTGTCCTGCAGTTTTATCTGTATATATGTGTATCTGACAAATTTACATTAAAATAAATTACAAATTATAATAATATAAATATATAAATTTATAGAAATATATAAATTATAAACTTTAGGGCTAATACATTTGCTTCATTAAGTAAAAATATGAAATTAGCAGTAAAACTTTATAAACTAGCTTGTAACGTAAAATTTAGTTTAGGAAATACATTCATTTTTAAAGACACATAACCATTCAAACTCTGTAACTAACACACTTGACTGATGTTGACATGCCTTTACTCTATTAGTAAATGGGATTAACTTTTATATTTTGAATGTTTGATTAGGCTATATGGAAAAAATGATCTTGAATCATTAAATAACAATATAAATAACTTAATATTAAAAGATAGTCTGGTAGGAAAATTATACAAAATGTACCAAATGTCAAGGCATTGACTGTTTAAAACAAGAGTAGAACATAGAAGAGATAAAATAGAACCTGAGTCATAATTTACTAATATCTGAATCTGACAATTCAAGAAAAAAAATTTAATTTAGCTGACATTTAATTCTCAAGTTTTTAGAATAATCCCAACAAATGGATGCTACTTTGAAGCACACTTCAAAGTGACAAAGAACATATGTACCTCAAATCATTGTTTTCCCAAAATTCAGAAACTGACAGCATGCACTATCAAGTCATTACTTGTGCCTTTTTAAAACGTGTTAGATGTTACATAAACCTGATTCCTAAGTAAGATCAGATTTTAATTAAGGTTTTAAGTTGAGCTAGTCAGGTGCATATACAGCTACAAAAAACATGTTGATTTTTACTCCTGCAAAGTAAACCAAATATATACCCTCAGATAGTTTTATAAAATCAGTATTTGTTTAAAAAGTTCCAAGTGAGTTAAACGAGTATTACTGACAAAATATAGCAGAGTGTGGCAGAAAGAACAATGAACCCAAGTCAAGGACTTGGATGCTGCTAAATGCTAGTCTTAAATGCTGCTAAAGTTGTATAATGCTACAGAAGTCAGTTATAACTTCTCTAGAAAGGAGAGCAGCATGTACTAAGTATATGTTACACATGGTCATTAATGTAAAGCCTCAGCGGTCCTATTAATTTGCTACTATTGCTCTGCTCTATAGCTGAGAGAAGTTGAACAATTTGTTCAAGACTGAAGAGTACAAAAGTAATAGAAATAAACCTTGATCCCAGGTCTGTTTGACTCTTAAGTCCACAGAACCTTCTCTGGATTCAGCTTCCTCATCTGTAAAATAAAGGGGCTGAGCTAGCTTATCTATGTACACAATCCCATTTGATCCTCCCAACAACCCTAGAGACAAGGTGGTATCTGTCCTTTCTTACAATTAAAGAAACTGGTCTTTCAGAGAGTTAAAATAACTTACCTGAAGTCATACAGTCTCATACCAAGTTCTTCTGACTCCATGTTCAAGGCTATTGCTATTACATCACATGAAATAGTCACTAAAGTCCCTTCGCTGGTGCTACAGATTCATTAAAACACAGTTGCAAAGTATGTCCATAAATTACTAAGATATTTTTACATGGTAAAAACACTAAAATTCTAAAATGCTTTTCACTTATTGATACTGAGGACTAACCTTCCCCACCCTCTTTTTTTTTTTTTTAGAACATGTACTCTGATACAATCTTTTTACCTTTGTTAATCTACATTGCTAAAAAGCTGAAGTAGTCATGGTTAAAGTCTAAACATTTAGATGATAAATCTTATATAGATGGTAACTGAGTAATTTATTTCTAAAAAGTGTTCCTATACTTGCATAACTGATTAAAAATATCTTTGAATTATGCCTGAAACTTATTGAGAACTACATGCTCTAAGGTGATTAAATGAGCAATAATTAATGATATAAAAAAACCATTTTATGTTCTTAAAAAAAGTCTAGCTACCTTATACAAACAGGTGTCAACTACTTCATTGCAAACTTTCTCAAGATCATCAGTGACTTCAAGCCTGGATCTTACAAAATCACAGAGCTCTTCATTTCCCATAACATCCCAGATACCATCACATGCAAGAATAATGAACTGATCATCTTCTTCAGATCTCTCAATATCATGGACTTCAGGCTCTGGTGAGACAAGCTGCTCTGTAGGACCTTTTCCGTGGACACATTTGTAATCAAAATCCCCGAGGGCCCTGGACACAGCCAGAGAGCCATTCACACGCTGAATCATTACAGAGCCACCTGCATTCTGAATTCGTTCTTTTTCCAGAGGATTACTTGGTTTGTGATCTTGTGTGAAGAAGTGAACTTTCCTGTTCCTACAAAGTAAACCTCTTGAGTCTCCACAGTTAATGAAATAAGTATGTTGGGGAGAAATCAAGACACCCACAGCTGTAGATCCACTTCTGTCTGCACCATGTTTCTTCTCTGACATAACTCTCATGTGTTCATCAATCTCCAGAAAACCTGTTCTGATTCCATTCTTTACATTTTCCACAGAAGGTGCTCCTGAAGATCCTTTAAAATCTTGGTTATTGGTGATGTGATCTAACAAATGCTCACAGCAGTATTTGGCAACCTGAGAACCAGCATGCCCATCATACACAGCGAAGAATGACCATGTTTCAAGTCCACTTGGCAAGCCGATCACAGCCGTGTGTGCATCCTCCATTTCCACTCGCCAACCTTGCATGCTGCTTAGCCCATATCGCAACCCATTACCCTGCCCTTGGGCATTATGCTTTTCCATCTTTGGCTTGTCTAAAAATGCTCCCATTATGTATTGATCCTCTAGGTCTGCAAAAATAAAAAGAGGAAAAAAAAGAAAAACAGGAAAAAAGTCAGTAATTGTCTTAAAAATATCAACTAATCTTTTTAAGAGTAAAGGAGATGCAAAGGAAGCTTTAAATAAGAATTTACAACTCTTATGATAAGCAGACATTGATTACACTGCTGACTTGGAATCTGGAGATTAACAAAGAACTGGTAGGAAAGACTGATCAAGCACAGCTCAAAATGGACAGTAGGCAGAGAGAACTATAGCACTGGGATGAAGAACTGATGTGACGGTATGGCACAACCACTTAAAGTCAACAGACACCTGGCAGTGGCTATCAACTTATATGTGCCAAGCACTGCATTTAAGGAACAAGAACACATGTAATCAGAACTAAGTTGTGTGTGTATTAATCAAGAAAAACCAAATGAATCCACAGGTCATACGAAAGCCTACTAATTCAAACATTCAGGAATTTTCAGAGTTTGATTCAAAACTATGTAGTTTCATTCCTGCTATTATCTACCCTCTAAAAAAGCAAAAAATGATTTACTCACAGTGGTCCAAATTTTCATGTTCCTTCCTTTAAGCCTTTGCTCATGTGAGTCTCCTTAACTCGAATCCCTTGCCTTTCCTCTTTACTTAGGGAAAACCAAACCAACCTATATACTCACCCTTTAAACAACACCCTAGAACAAATTCTGCTTCTTCCATCAGATTTTTCAGTGTTTGATTAAAGCCAGTAAGTTATTAATTACTGCAAGTGGTCCTGCTTCAACTTTCAAGTTGCAAACAATTATACATACAAATGACAAAGCTTATTATATACAGATATAACACTCAAGTTTACTCCCTCATCTGGAATGGGCCCACACAAGAAAAAAGAGATACTTGGTAATGATGTACATGTAGGTTGGCCTTTAGTTGAGTAATAGCTTAGGAAAGTAGAGAATTGGGGTCTATGCAATCAAATGAGTGACAATTGAATTAAAGGCAATCTGGGAGCAGGATAGAATAATGAGTACAGAATGAGGTAAAGAAGAGTCAGGCAGTAGGATAAGCTCAATCATAGGCAGTTTTGAAACCAGAAGGACTGAAGATGTTGGTAATGCTAAGCTTGGAGAGAAAAGGGAATAAAAAGCCTCTATGAAGAAACAAAAATGTTTGTTTTCTCAGCAACTTTTCCAAACCCTTTCTTTTTCAAGGGCCAAAATGATACACAAGCAAAGAGAGGGGCTGACTGTTGTTTAAAAAAAATAAATTAAAAAAAAATTTTTTTGCCTCCCCCTCTGTCCCTAAGAGTCTCCAAATGGAAGGTAAACAATGAAACTAGCCATCAGTCATCTGGTATGGTGGTATTTATCAGATTACTTTTCTGATACCATATTCATGTACATTAATGGCAGAGTATTCTGACTGGAGAAAGGATAATGGAAGGATGAAATCTTATTAGCAGACAATGTTTAAGAATTTTAAATCATTCTGACATCTACAAACATGACCTCATTTAATCTCATCAACAACTTTCTAGGGTGAACACTAATATTAACGCCAATCTATAAAGAATAGCCAAAATTAAAGAATTGAGTTAATGTCACTCAACTAGTAAATTTAAAGGAATATAGGAACTCTATTTTAAATCCGCCTGACTTTAAAGCACCATTAACCACTAAGCCAATGGCTCTCAACTCATGGCTATGCTACAGGTTTATTTGTGAACTTTCTGAAAAGATTTCCAAATCAAAATTTCCAGAATATGGCTGGAACCTATACATCTGTGTATTTAAATTTTCATATGTGACTCTGAGGCAAAGCAAGGTTGCAAACCACAGGGGTGGTGGGATAAGATGTATTGCCTGAGGTGTAGAACGTGAGGGAAAAGAGATAAAAGGTAAGGGCCAAAGAGAAAATGAGCTCAAAATGAGAACAATCAAGACCACCATACTAGGCTACAAGATCACCATCCTACGCTAGAAATGACAAGAAGAAATTTCCCAAGAGCAAAGCTCCTTCTTAGGAAAAAAAGTAAAATAAAAGGCCTGAGGGAAACTCAGAAACAACTGTATTTAACAAACATACCAACGAGAGAGAGCGGGAATGACAAACACTCCTCTTCTGAGAATTCCTCACAACATAAAGTCCTAAAGAATATACATTATGTAGTTAGACCAAGCCGGGCTGACACTGTAGTTCTATTTAACAACACTGCACCAGTTGTAACTGTGTGACTGCTTTTCTGAATTTTTCCATCTGTGTAAGAAGCTGCTAAGGTTCTTATAAGACTAAATGAATTCACTCCATAAAGTGTTGAGCACAGCGTAACTATAACATAGACGTTATTATTATATACTTCTTAAGCTATTTATTTTCTGCCAGAGGGAGGGGTTGGTCATACTAATGTTTCTTCTTGGTTACCAGCTTAAGTCCAAAATTTGTTTTTTTTCAGTACTGAATGTTGAACCTAGAGCTAGCTTCACCGAAACACCCTAGACAAACATTCTACCACTGACCTACACCACCAGTCCTGCACGATATACATTAAAAAACACTGTCAATACTTCCTTAGTAAATAGGGGAAGGTAAATTTAAAACAAAATGTCATGTCTTGTGCATGTGGCAAAATCAAGAGTTGGTAAGAGTGAGGAAAAGGAAATTCCCCTATATTGCTAACAGCAGAAGTTAGTGAAGCTGAAGATGTACATGAGCATCAACTCAATTTCACTCCTAATTATGCATTTCAGAGCAATGTTTCATAAACTGTGGACACCTACATGATGAAATCAACTTAGTAGGTTTTATGAGGCCCTGTGTCTTTAAAAGATGGAATAAAATGCATCCCAGGTGGCAAGAGTAAGTAAATATTATTATTCTTCTGTTGCTGGGGACTGAACGAAGACCTTGCTTGTGGCAGGGGAGTGTTCTACTACTGATCTAACTTCCACAACAGTACTATTCCTGAAGTTTCTGTTCCAGATGTGCATTTTGCATTACTAAGCGAAGGTCTGCACTTCTCAGCGTGCTACCTTTCAGTAACTTTGCCAGTGGGGTGTGGTGATGCTGCCGCCTGCAATCCCCCTCAGCACTTGGGAGGCTGAAGGAGGAAGACTGCAAGTTTGAGGCCAGCCTGAACTAGTAAGATCCTGTCTCAAAAAACCAAATTAAACCAAATTAAAAATCCTTCCCATTTGCCCAAAGTGATGTGTGCAATGATCTTTTTGGAGAACTGTAGTAACAAATATTAGAAACAATCTAACTGCTCATTAGAAAGTAGAATAGATAAATAATGGAATATTTAGCAAAACAGACATACCTATATCAAAACAGACATTTCTTAAAAACAACACATGGCAATATGCTGAATAATGCAGCAAAAACAATTAGGGTTAAAGTACATAAAAACAAGGACAGGCAGAATACACACCAGCTTTAGAATAGACACAAGCACCACGACAGCAGGGATTTTTGTTTAATTCATTGGTATGTCCTCTGCACTTAGAATAGAGCCTAACACACAGGAGGAAGCTTGACAATGACTTGATTCTCTCTGGGAAGAAGAATAGAACAGCTCAGGAAAAGGTCCAAAAGGGGGACTTAACTTTACCAGTAAACGATGGTTCCTGGACTTAGATGCAGTAACAAACTTTGGGAACCTGTTTTACCGTTAATTTTTCTGTGCTTCATCTAAGGTAAACTGAACTCCTTTCAAAGGTTACTTTTATTAAAAAGTCAAAAGGAAATCAAGCCAAAGAACAACAACAAAAACAGGAAATCAAATTGTTTAAAAGCACCTAAGATTCTCTTAAAACTTATTTAACCTCTAGATGGGTTATCTTGGATTTCTCATTCTTTCTAAAGCTCACAACCTTACCTCTGAGCAATTAGAGATGAAGTGCTTACGGGCTTAGTAATTACCACCTAACATTTATAAGTGGTTACTACTGGCCAAGCACTTTCTTAAGTTTTATATGTGGTAGTCAATGTTTAATCTTCACAGGAATCCTAAAAGATAGGTGTTACTACTGTATTATGATTCTTTCCCTAAAGGAAGGAACTGAGCTGCAGTGAGGCTAAGCTACCTACTGAAGGTCAACAGCAACTTGTTTCATTTGTGTAGAAATTCCCCTAACTAGGATGGAGGGTTGGGAGGCACTATGCTTAAGATACTTGATCCTTTCTACTTTAGAGTCCCTCAACTTCCTCATCTATACAATGGGCGTATTAATGCCTACCTCTGAATGTCGGTGCAAAGTTTAAATAAGGCAATGACGGCAAAGTAGCCAGACAGAACCCTGCAAAACGGAGGCACTCAGCAAACGGAAACTGATTAACTATTATTATGTTCCTACCCACACAGCCACATCTAGATTCTTACCTCACCTAATAGGGATCTTAGTCTCCGTTTTATAAACAAGTCCAGAAGTTATTTTCCAGATATGCATATGAAAGTACAGTACCAAATAATTCTTTAAAGATAAAAAAAGGCAATTCAGAAACCTAATCTCTTTGGGTTCTGAGTAATTTGTAGGGTGCTGGTGAAGCAGTCAACTATAAGTTATATAAATACAGCAGCTGGTTATGTAAATACAATAACAAAGTAATTACTTATTCTGAATACTATCTTTACATAGTCCTCCTGCATAAGTGGACTACTAATAAGTGTCTTATTTAGTCAAATTATTAAATTGGCATATATCTATAAATAGCCCCAAGGGGATTCAATTTGCCCATGAGAGTCTGTTAGCCTCAGGTGTCAGGCAGCAGGCAAGCACTGTACCACTGAGTTACCTTCCTGTCCTTGCCCTAGTGTTAAATCTACTTCAGTATATGCTGGTTTCATCATTACACAGTACAAACACTAACAGCTGAGCCGAACTTTTGAGAACAAAGTATTACAATAATAAGACTGAATACATCTTAGATATAATCAGAAAATTTGGTGAATATTTTGTGTCATTCATTCTTTCGTTCATTGGATTTTTTTGAGACAGGGTCTTGCTATGCAGTTCAGGCTGGCTTTAAA